GGCCTTTGTGAACTTGACACTCCCATTAGGCCCCTACTGGAAAGTGCAGTATTTGATCAGGAGATGGAAATTGAGCAAAAATGAACTGAAACTAGATCCCACATGACTTATTTTCCTGTTGGCTCTCAGCTTTAGGTGTCACTCAGACTTAATAAAGCTCTCAGATTTTCATTTTATCACAGAAAATAGACTGAGCAAAAATAAAATCAGTGGGTTTTGCCTTAATGGAGCAAAGTAATGGCGAGGTGAAACTGACACAACACAGTCTGTCCATAGTAATACTATCAAAATGAAAGCATATTCACTTCTGGAGTTTTCCAGGAATCAATTCAAACTGAATATTGGCCTTTTTCTCAGACTTTATTTCATAATGGTTCCAACAAATACAGCACTTTGGCAATAGCCTGTCACCTCGAGTGATACCAACACAGCTATTTCACCCTATAGAGTTACAGTATTCTCCAGCCCACACTGAACCTCCTCCACCAACCTATAACTCTTATTTTATTTCCGCACTTTATACATTAGAGGTACATTACACCCATCCCAGTAGATAGGATGAGTCCACTTTTACACCCAGGTGTTACATTGCAAGGTTAGGTCATTCGGATGGCTATGACCTTTGATGGCTCTGTCTTCAATGAAAATGATCTGGTGATCTCCACATTGACATGCACACAGATGCCCTTGTGCTGTACATTCACACTATGGTGATAAGGCCAGAGCAATTCACTCGGGAGACATTATGGAAATATTCATTTGGGAATTACGAATTATAATTAGAACGTAAGGCCACATTTCCCCGTCATACGTATGGTGGGGTTTGCATGGTTTCACAGTGACGGGGCTTTAAAGCAGTCTCTACAAGAACAAGATTTTCCTGCACCTTTTCCTGGATACTTCCGTTTAGCGGAGCGTACGGCTGGTATGTTTATCATTCCAGTCTTCTTTACAGAATGTTTTGCTTTTAAAGAAGTAATTAGATCAAGTAAAGTGAGAGGAAAAATCCAACACTGAGTCCCAAGTGTTCTGGTATGCGATTAATTATTCTGAGGAAGACAGATGTTAAATTGTGTATGCCCATCAGCGCTAAGACTTTCTGAAGATTTATCATTCATGTAAATCATGAATAAAATATTTCCTTGTTGAGAGAAAATGCTACATCTGTTGGTGCATCATTTACTCCCGACTGCAAGAAAATAAGCACACAAATCTGACCTATTAAAGACTGTTTTCAACACAGAGTGGACGTAAGAAGTGAATTTGACAAGTGGTGTTGTTTGTATTTAACTGCATACAATAATTTCGAAGAGATTAAAAATTGTTTACAAAGAATATATTGCTTCACTCACCCAACTTCATAACCTGCTCTTCAACTACAGAGTATCAGTGATGTAGGGCTGCAACTAACAATTATTTTCATTGTCCATTAATCTGACGATTATTTTCTCACTCAATCGATTAGTTGCTGAACAGAATTTCCCAAAGCCCAAGGTGACATCCTCAAATGTCTTGTTTTGCCCACAACCCAAAGACATTAAGTTTACTGTCACAGAGGGGTAGATGAACCAGAAAATATTCTAACTGAAGAACCCTGAATCATGGAATTATGACCTTTTTTCTCTTAATTACTCACACCAATTACTCATTTATCGAAATACTTGGAGATTAGTTTTAATAGTTGACAGCTAATTTGACAATTAATCCATTAATCGTCGCAGCTCCACAATGATGGTGAATATCAAAAAATTAACATCACACCGCTAAATTCTTTCCTTCAAAAACTAAATTAACTGTATTTCATGCACATGAAGCACACGTGTGCTTCTGTTTCCCCCAGATGTATGAATAAATAAATAAAAACAGTCAAGCGAGTGTGAGAGTGTCATGGGGATCACGGACGAGGCAATGGTGGTGGCGGAGGTCGAGCCACAAGCCACCGGGACGGTAGCGTCTCCAATCGCCCCTGGCGACCATCACGTTGCCATGCTCCGGAACAGACAGGCCTGCTCGCACAACAGATGGAACTAATGATGCGAAACAAAAGAGATCATTTCACCGTGGTCCTCTAGGAAGCCACAAAGAGAGGCTTGGAAGTTTGAATGATGGGACCAGGGGACTTGCATGGGGTTAGATATGGGTAGCCTTTTTTTTCCTGGAGGTGCTCAGATCAATAGGAAAAAAAGGCCTTTGATGTTTCTCACAGAAAGTGGCACGTTAAAAAGGCAAGTGTGGAAAAAGTAAGAGAAATGGTAATCAAGCGTCAAATTCTGCTGAGGATCCGTGCTAGAGATGGGTTTTGTTTCCTATTTTGTGGACTTAGGGGTTCTGATAAATGTCTAGTCACATATGGGTCATCAAAAATGATGAACTGCCAGTTCTGCAACTACAATTACACAACTCTCTTAGTCAAGTTTTGACAATAGCCCTCTGTTCATAATCTAACATGTTCAATTATACAAATAACCTCACAATAACCGAATACAGTTAATTATTGGATCATTCTATCAGTTTGATAGCTAAGCCTTGCTGTATAATCCACTGTGTCAAACAGAATGATTAGCTAAGAAAAACAATTTCAATGCCAAAGTTTAAGGCAAATTTATACGTCACCTTAAAATCAAAACAGTCTGGTTAAAAAGGCTGTGAAATGCCTTATTAAGTACAGCTACGTATGTGCACCATCCGTTTTTAACACTGTGTTAGGTAACAGTTGTAAACAAACTGCTGTGTCCTGAACTGACAAAAACAAATCAAATTTGAGCTGAGGACATTTGCATATCCTGAGGGACAGGATTAGATTTAGAGGTCATCTCTTACGAGCCAGTCCTCAGCAGACGCCAATGTAATGTTTCTATGTCAAGTACATTCAATCGAAGCCTATGCGAGCACCAGTCTGTTTTCCAAGTCAGACAGTCAGAGAGAGGGAGCACAGCTCTTTAAATACAGTATACGAACTGAGAGAAGCCAAACACCTTGGGATGGGATTTAACCAGGATGGAGAGGAGTGGAGCCCAATCCATGCCCATGCACACATGGAAGGGATCACTGGGAAAAGTTCAGCGCCGACACTGACACAAACAGCGGAACAAGGCCTGTATTAGAGTCAGGTTAGCAAAGATAACACTATCAGCCTGATCCCCATGGGTACCAAATGCCGGGCCTTGCTGGCAAATAAAGCTACAGTGTCTTGACTCCTTGGCACATTAGCTCTGATTACAATGACCTTCATTATATCAGCTACCCTTATTACAACACGTAGAAGGCGTCTCTCCCATGGGCCAAGCACAGTGGGGGAAAGAGTAAAGGAAAGCGGTGAGAATCACTAGTAAGGCTTTGGCTGTGAAAACCAGTGCTAAGACCTGTGCTAATGTAATGTAGTGTACAATTAGCACCTGCAAGAACTCTCATAATGTTCATGCTGACTAGCCACTTTACTCGAAGACAGTTTGTGGACATACTGCTGAATTCAGGTTTGACTATCCTGTTTGTTGGTTGTTTGTTTGTTTGTTTATAAAACCTTGTGTTCTTTGTTTGGAACTATTCAGAAATTAGCAAGTTTTAAAAATGCTAACTGTTTTATAAAAACACTAATTAAAGCTTTTTAAACACTGTACTGCAGCTTTCCACAGCAAATATTACCTCACTATAACTTTAATGTCTTTCTGATCCTTAGTTCCTTCAAAAAAGAACACAAAAATTTTAATTTAATACAATTTCTTACGGTTTTCATTACTAAATAACATGCTTGACTATTCAAGAATTAACCATTCCACATCCTGTGTGCACAGACGAGCCCTGTTTAATATGTAACAATGTTGTTAACCTCAATTTCCTTCCCAGTCTGCCCCTCCACAGGCCACATTGTTAGCTTGAGCGAGCTCTTGGCACACGTTACCGCCGTGGTGGTGACTCTCATTCAGTCTGACCACCCTGCAGGCAGGGGGATTCTCTCCCACAGCCCTGCTCATCCCTCCTTCAGGCCCCTGCTGTGCATCTCGCCCTCCCTCTTTGCTGGCAGGTGACTCAAAATAACAGACGTTGCCCTGACAGAGCCGCTTCATCGCATTCACTTAGCCCTGCCAACACACCCCAACACGGGATGATCTGAACTGTGGGGGTTCTGAGGACCATCCCTTCAGCTAGCAGGAGGCCGCAATGTTTGTTTTGTTTTTGTGCTGAGATGCAGAGGGTGGAAGGGGGGGGGGGGGGGTGCAAATCAGCTTGTTTTGGATTAAGAACAAATCAAGAGATTTTAAGAATTACAAGATGCGCCTCAACACCAAGTTGAAAACAAGAACACCTGTAGGAGGCACAGGATAACCACCAGTGAGTGACACACACAGTATCACTCTCACCCTCTCATTCACATATTTGTCAAAGTATAATTCCTGAGGAAGAATAGAGGATACAATAGAAATATAGCCAAGAGTGCACTTAACAGAATCAGAGTTTAAGCCATGATGATCCCCTATGACGGTATGTTAAAAAAAGGAAATAAAATTGTAACTTAATTATAGATTTATAATGAGCCACTGCACCACTGCCAAAAACAAGTCCCATACCAAGGCAAACAGGCACCTGCTGAATGCTCTCTGCTCGTGGGTTTTCATAGCTTAATTAATCTAGGCCTTGGGGTATCATGACTCGTGCGTGCTGCTTGCGTGCATGTTTGAGACAATTAAGTTGTTCCTCGAAACAGAGGTGCAACTTCAACATGGAGCAGAGACACCAATACTGCACATTACAAGCCGTATTTTGTGTTTTGGTAAAGCAAAGTCAATGATCCAATAATTTGTTTCCTACTAATAGAAACTGTCTGAAGAACTGTTTCAACAAAAGGTTTTTCCATACAACTTAATTACAAAAAAACTAGTTGACCGCTCAATGATGGCAAACAAATCTGGCCCTAATTAATTCTTAAAATGTTTTCTTAGTACCCAATGCTGTTGTACATTTACAGCAAATATTTGGTGACAAGACATAAGCTTAAGACTCACCTTCCTGCTGAACAATCTGTGACGAAGCTGAATCCGTTGAGCAGTTATCCCCTCTGCCCGATGCTCACTCTACCGGCATCTGATTTCTGTAGATAAACATAAAACAGCCGTTTATCATCACATGTAGTTTCTTTGAACTGAGAGATTTAAAGCACTTGATCTTGTGTGAACATTTTTTTATGCTGAAAAGCAAACTTTTGGGTGCAAACAGATTGATGTAAAAGGTTTAAGTCTGACAGGGGAAAACCAAGAATCCTGACCCTGTGTTACATCCAGGTGTGACCAAGAAGAGCAGCTCACATTTCTGGTCACAGCTGGTTAAAGTAAAAGGGGGGGGGGGGGCATTTAAGAAAGCTGCTATTTTTTCGTCTCTCAAAATGAAGAAATTATTTCCCATAAACCCCATTCTTCCTGTTGCTGGTCAACAAGTTAAGGGAAAGCTGAACTAATGCAGATTTAGAATGATCATAAAAGAAAAGAAAAAGCTACTCTAAAAAGTAGGCGAGCACAGTGTTTGTATGTTTACTGAAAAATCTAAATGAATGTGGTAATGATTCATTGGTGTAAAATACAACTGAAATAATTGGTGACCAAAATGAATTAGGACAAAAGTATAAAATTCTCATGACTGCTAATTACCAGTTTGAATGAGCCTGATAACTAAAGAGAAAAGGTATTAAATCCAATAATTATTACTATTGCTAATTACATTTCCAATTATGTCACTAATGAGAAGGCTTAATTATCAGCACAGTGGATAAATAAGACTTTGGCTTTCTGGCGTTTGTGATAGAGGTGGTGATGTGGTTACAACATCAAGGGCGAGCCCTCTGACCAAAAACACACACGATAAGGCCGTAAACAGTAGCACGGTGACCTAAATGGTGATAAAACACAGATAATGTTAACTATATGTACAATAATTTATAGATTTCAACCTGCCCCTTGCACCGTGGGAAACAATCTGTTATCAAAGTTATCATGGTTGGGCCTCTAAGATGGCCTTTGTTGTAAACTTACTGGTTGTGATGCATTTTTTTTTTGCAAATGAGCAGCTGTATAAAATACCTCACTGTTTTATTAGGATGTTTACTTACTGCCTTCTTTACATGACCAAAATCTAAACTTTATATGATATTTCATTGACAGAACATTTAATTGTTGAAGATCAAAGACAAAGAGAAACTGTCAGGCAGACAAACACAAACATACCGAAAAAAGGAAAGTCTTTCTTATGACTTAGGAGTCTCCATTATGGCTGTGTTAGAGAACTGGATATGGCACTACAACTAGACCTTGCTTCCAATTTTTCCCAGTAGCCACTTGTGGTATTGCAGTAAAAAATTTCCATGCAGCCCCAAAAGCATTTTTCCCACAAACCACCATTATAAAAGAGACCTCTGTAAAACTGTTGACAGGACACCTCTAGCTGCAAACAAGGTCCATTATGAGTCTTTTTGTTGTAAATTTTTGATCTATGGAGGTTTCATATTCGTAAATCTTTCCTTGAGCCAAGTAAAACAATGACATCATCATGACTTTAAATCTATGGGCCAAGCGGAAACTCATGGGCAGGGGCAGCGGGAGAAACATGCACATATTCAGCAGGATGCATGCCACTGGGAATAATCCTGGAAGCTAAACTTTTTAGTGTATGCACCAGGCTAGGAATTCTCATTGGACTGAATAGGCACAATCTTGGGGTTCAGTTTCCAGATCTAATACTACGTACATCCATTATCTCCATTCAATCGCTAGCCAATTTTTGAGAAAGCAACATGTTTCAGCTGACAAAAATATGATCTGTTGTAGTTTTCATTGGAAAAACAAAGGGTTTTTACAACATACCAGAGACTTATGTGCTCCTGTAAGAGAGTTTAATATTAAATAAGCTACAAAATGAATTTTTTTTTTATGAAAGTATGTTTGGCAGAGGCCAGAGACATCTCTAGAGTTAAGTTATTGCCTGCTCTGGACAGCATATGATGCACTGATCCATCTTGTGCATCTGAATCTGTTGATATCAGTTGATAACTGCTAGAGAAATGCTATCAGACACAATCATTACACCCCTTCTCAATGATCCCCAAACAGCCCACCTGCGACCCTCCTCCACGGGGCAAACTGCACCCCACGTGGTTGTCATAATATTGCTGTATCACACCCAGTGTCTCAAAATGCTGTTGATATTTCTCGCATTCCTTAAGGGCGTTGCTCTACCTTTAGGAGAGCAGAAGTGCTGCAGAGGACCGTGTCTGAGTGCCAAGTAAATGCACGACGGATTACAGTCATATCTTCCACATGGCTGCTTCCTAATCCTACCATCTGAGGTAAACACAGGACCAGGTGAGGCAACACGACTGTCTGAGACACCTCTGGAACACAGAGGGATCTCCTCCTCAACCCGGGACTGCTGCTTCAGATTGGCATGGAACTTGTTCACAGAGGGTTCCAGTAAAAATTGGGACATATTTGTTTTCTGGTGTGTGGCAGATCCATATAAGACAATACTAATTCAGTGTATTCTTAAAAAAGCTTTTCACATTTGTTTTTCTGTGTACACATTGTTGGGAAAATCACTCCAAATAATAAAAATCTCTGCCAAGAGAAGTGATTTTACATCACCAGAAGGAGCAACAAAGTTTAGTAATCTGTAATAAACAGAAAATCTGGCTGGTTACCATGAGCAGTAACAGCCACAATGGCTCAACATTAAAACAGTCAACAGAATATCCAACATCAATTGTTTACCTTACAACATATCTCTGAGAAATGTAGCGCAAAGACACAACAGCACGCACACTAACTGCTTGGCACCAAGACAAAACAAAAGCATTTGATTTTGACAAAAAGTTGTGAACATTATTCAGTGATATACACGACTTGACTATTCTTGCTATACAGGTAATCAGTTCTCAGATCAGACCCTGAACATCTGGTTCAGCTCTTTGTGTTTTTTATGTGTTGAAAAAGTGAGCAATAAGGTGATACTTCTGTGTGTGTCACTGCCAAAGAATGTTGCCAACTTTAGTTTCAAAGTCTCTCCCTCTCACCTCAGAGACAGGACAAGAACAGGAACAAAAAAAAAAAAAAAAAACGAAACTATAAAGGAACAGTCAATGTTTTAAGATGGGGCTGATTTTTTTCAAAATATCTACATCATTACGCAAAAACAGGTTTCGATATGTTATGGCATGACTGTTTTTCATCTTACATGACCTCATGAGAAAAATGCACACACCCATGGAACAGGGACGACACAAGCTTCAGGAAGATGGGTATTTCACAAGTTAATAGGGTATGTACTTTCTGGTATTTTCCATTATAGTGATGACTCTTTCTGGGACTGGAAAGCACAAATGAGTAGGCAATGCTACCAGCATTTACCAGAATATAATCATCAGTTTTTTTGGAGAAAAATGAGATTCACAGACTATGCCAACATTTCACAAAGACACAAGTTCCATTCTAAACATATGTAGATCTTTACCTGTAATCACATTTGTACACAACGTTGGTATTTACTACAGACTTTACAGACTTTTGTATTCACACATCAGTTTAAAATGTATTGTATTTCCCTGTTTAACAGTTGTTTTTACAAGGTAAAATTTTTCCACAATCCACTCAAAAAAAAAACAAAAAAACAATGTTTAAATAAAAACAAGGTACACTAAAGTACATAGTAATACTATAAACACAACCTAGAGCCAAGCCACTTGTGAAAGCCGTGTCAGAACATGCGAACGAGGGAAGGTACTGAAAAAGTGCATATTTTGATTTTGGTGATAAAACAGCAATCACGGGAGCTAAAATGTGTTAACTGTTCAGTGACTGTGAAAGTTGCTCCCCTGTGAAGCCGTTTGATCAGGTGATGTTTCATTAGCATTTGTTAAGGGATGAAAACACAAAAGGTTTTATAAAAATCAATTCCTTAACTTAAACTACTTAGAATTTTCCCCCCAAAAAAACAATTCATAGACTCATAAGGGAGTAGTCCTTCTCAATCATCTCTTATGATTCACTAGAAGTGTGTGACGGAGTGTTTTTCTGCTGAGACTCTGCCCTCTGACTGTATTTTCTTATTTTCTGTGTTCAGGAGGTTAATGGGTGTGTATCCCCACAGTGTTCAGGTGAGGTCAGGGCTTCATAAAACAGGAGAGACCAGGTGTCAGACCATAAGCAGCGGGCATTCACAACACATATGCCAAAAAAAAAAAAAAACACATTTATAGAGGCAAAACGGCAGACGGGAGTTAAACTGGCGTTAGATTCTACTTTAACTTTTGCTGGCAAGCGTGCATACTAATAGTAATTGACAATAGTATACCATTTACAAAGTGTTGAAAGCTTTCCATTAATGGTAATTGGTGTTTATCTGGTTGCAAATCAAATGTTATAAGCTTAAAAAAAGAGGTTAAAGTGTTTCGTCTGTTGTCGTGTTGTGATCTGCAGATTGGAATTTATTTTTCCAAAGAAGTTCAATCAGTATACAAGAGATGCTCAAGTTATGATAAAACAAATTTATGAAAATTACCCCTGCCCCCCTCGCCTCTCCCATAAGACAAAAAAACATGAGGTTTTGAGCTCTATGCAGAACTTCTCATACCATAAAGCCTGTGCATAACAAAAAGAAAAAATCTGAACCTGAATGGTGAGATTTTATGAGGTCATGTTACCAACAGTTGCCCTTGGGCACAGGTATGAGATAAATATACTGTACAATATACACACACCTTTGTCACGCAATGTGACTTCAGCAAAAAAAATGCAATGTGCTGCTGGCCCATCTTACTGTTTTATCTATGCTTTGTGTTTTCTTTGCTTTAGAGGCCTTGCTGATTGAAAAATAAGCAGCTTTAAAGACTCTAACTCACTGAATACTGACGTTAATCGCTATTCATATCAGTTTGAAGAATGTTAAATGTAAAGGTTTCTTTCAAGAACACTTGATCTAAATAGCAATTTGCAAGTGTTTTCAGGGTTATTACATAGAAAGGGTTATTATATAGAAACACCTTGTGCCTACACCACACTGCTCATATAATCACTCCAGACCTCACAGTTTCATTCATTCATTTAATCA